CTTCCTCCTGCCCCCCACCCCCCCACCACCCTAGCCCCGGCCCCATCGCTGGGGCTCAGACCCACGGCCCTACAGCACAGCTCCAGGGGGTCCCCCCCATCCACCGGGGCACCCTTCGGGAGGGGCCACGTCTCGGCTGAGCCGGGGGCGCGGGGCTCGGGGGGGCCCCGCCCGAGGGCTGCCTGCATCCTCACTTGGGGGGCAGCACCTCGGCGTTACCAAATGCCGCTTGATCGCCCTCCGGGGGGGGCGAGGATCCGGGCCGAGGCGCGCTTGGGGACGTGATCATCGATCTGCGAACCTGCGGGGGACAGGCGGACACGTAGATGGGTGGACGGGACCCGTAGCACAGCCCCTCCTTCCCCCTCCCCCGGCATCCAACTCCCACCCACTCCAACACCATGGGAGCGTGGGATGGGGATGGGAATGGGGATGGGATGAGGGTGGGGTCAGCCCCTGCCCGGCCCAGGAGCCTTGGGTGCTGCATATAGGGGAGGGGGGGGGATATAGGGGGGTCTATGGGGGGTACACCGGGACAGCTGGGGAGCACTGGGAGGCTCAGGATGCACTGGGATGCTCAAGGCTGTACTGGGATGCTCCAGGTTGCTGGCATGGTGTGGCTGGGGAGGCATTGGGAAGCCCAGGTTGTCCCTGGGTTACATTGGGGTGCCGTGGGGGTGCCGGGCCCCTCTTACCGGACAGGCTGAAGCTGGACTCGTGCAGGTCCCTCATGCCCCCGTGGCGCGTGGCAGGCCGGGTGGGCGTATCAGCCAAGGGTGTCCCCGTGTCTTTTTTCCCCGTGTGGACCACTGCTGCCACATCCCCCAGGTACGGGCTGCGGTCCACGGCCCTCGGCTTTAAGCTCTGCCGGGAGATGGGGAGGGAGAGGGGGGAGAAGCACAGAGCGGGGAGAGCTGTGAGCTGAGCCCATCTGGGGGGCTATGGGGTGGGTGTGGGGTTATGGGGTGGGCGCGGGGTTGTGGGGTCTCCCTGCAGCCATGGGGTGGGCATGGGGTGCCCCTTGGTGTGTGGGATGGAGATGGGGGGGGGGGTGGTCTGTGGTTTATGAGGAGGTGGATGGCCCTGCTGGTTCTGCCCCGTGCCCCCCTGCAATGCCATCCTCCAGAGCAACACCGCCCGCACCCCCAGCAATTGTCCTGGTGCCGTGGTGTGGGGACACGTTGGCGAGATGAGTGGGGATGGGGATGGAGATAGAGGTGGAGGTGGGGATGGAGATGGGTCTGTGCCATCCAGACCACGGCACAACAGCACGGTGCCTCTGCTGCCTGCATGTCCCCGTGCCCCGCACCTTCTCGCGCTGCACCAGCTTCTTGTAGACGCAGTCGGGGAAGGAGCGCAGCGGGCAGAAGCGCCCGGTGCCCTCGGCACACATGAAGACTCCGTTCTCGTAGACCACGCGCCCGCGGCTGATGGTGACCAGCGGCACGCCGTGGCACCGCATGTTCTCATACAGGTTGATGTCCCCTCCCTGCACTTGGGTGCTGGCCGAGATGGTCCTGGCGGGCGAGAAGCGGGGAGCTGAGCGCCGCCCCATGGTGCCGTCCCCGCCGCCGCCGCGCCCCACACCGACCTGGTGGCCTCGGGGTCCCACACCACCACGTCGGCGTCGGCGCCGGGCACGATGCGGCCCTTGCGGGGGTACAGGTTGTGCAGCTTGGCCGCGTTGGAGCTGGTGACGGCCACGAAGCGGTTCTCGTCCATTTTGCCCCCCACCTGCGGGGTGGGAGCGCGGTGAGGACGTGGCTCCCCTGAGGGACGGGGCCGCGTGACACACGTAGGGCCGCAGCCCCCGCACGCACCACGCCGCGCTCCCAGATGATGTTCATGCGGTCCTGCACCCCGCTGACGCCGTGCGGGATCTTGGTGAAGTCCTCGCGGCCCATCGCCTTCTGCTTGGCGCTGAACGGGCGGTGGTCCGAGGCCACCACGTTCAGGGTGTCGCTGCGGGGAATGGGGATGGAGGGGCTGGGGGTCATCACTGGTGGGGGTGTGTGGGGAGAGGGGTTCCGTGCCATGGGGTGCTCAGGAGCGGTGCAGAGGGGTGCCTGGGAGCTGTGTGCTCAGAGAGGGGGAC